TTTTCTTGATTTTTTAAATATATTTTTCCACCTTCAGAGTAAGAGTTACAATGCTACAGAGAATTCTGTATCATTATATCGTGCACAGAATTAATTCCCATACATGCTGCAGTGCAGTTTTTCTTACAGTCATCATTTATTTTTAACCAAAAAAATCAATAGTAATCCTCACATCATCTAAAAAATTCGAAAAGGAAAATATGTAGCTGTGTAATGTAGCTGTTTTTCTTATTTGACTCGTGATAAAGGAAAGGTGTTGTTACTTGTCAAAGGTCAGATAAAAAAAATCAATGATGCATGCAACTAGAAACACACGTAGACGTGTTAAGAGGATAAATGAATTAGTTTCTTTAAAATGACTTTGAAATGTGTAGACTTCTTAAAATGTGTTACTCTTGGCTAAAGACAAATAACTGCTAATATTTAACGTACTAATCTCATTAGCACTGTGTTTATTTGCAACATGACCTGGAGTGGGACTCTGCTATGTTTGAATGTTGAGTGAAGATGTGCAAGTATTTTCTTCGGATTTAAAAAGAGGCACTTGGAATGCCAGCATTGTTTTATAATGTAATTTTAGAAAAAGAAATCAAGTGCTTATTTATTGACCAAAAACAAGGCACTGTTATTTTCAAAGTAGTTACTTTGAAACTTACTTGTACTTTTGCTTTTACAACTTTGCAGGCCTCTTACAAAAGGTGATTAATCTAATATTTCCTTAGGACTCAGGTTTGTAGGAAAACCACTTAAATATGAAACATCTTGACTAAAATATGATTTTTACCTGCTATTCTTATCTTTCCCAAAATATGAAGTATAATTACTAATATGTAGACATGTATTTTTCAAAGGTAAAACTTTAGTCATGATCACTAAGTAGTGTTCTTCTTCTATCTGCATTCCTCTGTCTTGCTGGTTGCTAAAAATCACTCCTGAGAGCTGTCAGTTATGATCTTCTTAAGGATAATTGGATATGTAAGGTGGTGAAGAGAGGGAAAATGGATTCATATTTGTTGACTAATTATCATGTGCTGAACAGTTCTTGAGGTGACATTTCTTGTCTGTGACATGGATCTGATTATCCACATTGTCCATTGAGAACATGGCAGAAAGGATATTTAAACAATTTGTCAATGGTCACAGAACTTCCTATAGTGGCTATATGTTTGAAGAAAGAATTTATTGCATCCACGTCGGTGTTATGTTCTCAATTTCCATTAAGATTCTTCTGTCTCTAAAAATTCCTCTGTACTGAAGTAACTTTAGACAAATGGGCCATATTTGAAAATTTCCTCCAGTTAAAACAGATGATAACCATAAGGATTTCTCTGCAGTCATGTATCAATAATAAAGAGGGTCAAATTTCCTTTCTACTTTATTAGTCTCCAATAAGAGACTGTTCTACTCTAGACTGAGTGTAGGACTTGAATTTAGAATTCTGTGTCAGTCACGAGCTGTCCCTAAGTTTAAGTGCAACTTAGGGGTTTTTATAGATTTCACTATGTTCACTGATAAAATATTTATGCTAGAATAATTTTAACAGCCTTGGTGGATTTTTAGAATGACATATTATGTGATAGATTCCTTTAAAGATATGAAAGACATATTATGATATTATAATATCTTAATATTTTGTTAAAATGTTACCATAAAGTATCAATGCAGAAGTTATGCAGGAAATTCCTTAACAATACATCTAAATTCCAGAATTAAATTTCACCAAATTATTCTTAGAGAAAGCAGAAGACATCAACTAACATATATAGCAAATATAGAATAAAAAATAAATACATACAAATAATGAAACAAAAACAAACTTTTGTTTAGCTTAACCTGTTCACTTAATGACCAAAGAGTCAGGTACCTTTATAATTTATGTTATACAATTCATTGTAGTAAATGTTAGGGTTAATTTTATACTTGAAATAAAATTTAACACCTCAACTGTGCTTTTTTCCAAGATTGTATCCACTACTTACACCCTTGAATCATGGAAAGACTGTTTAGATATCAAATAACTATAACAGAAGCAAGATTTTAGAATACTACCTACTTAGAATTTGGCCAATTTCTGTGACATAACTTTCTATGAGGTTTACAATGCTGGGGACTGAAAGAATGATTTTTTAAGCAAGTATGGACTAGAGAACTGATGTTACATGTATATGAGGTGAAAAGTATGAATAACTTAAGGAGATATAAAAACTGTCAAAATAAAATGTTGTTGCTAAAATTGGGCATCTGTTCATAAGAATAATTCCAAATAATGTAAATTTGTTTTGTAACTAAAGATGGTGAACTTTGAAGACATAATAAAATAAAAGATATATACATATATGTACATAGAACCAGAAATACAAAAAGAAATCTTTGTTTTAAAACATAGACAAAGAAGGGGAGAAAAGTTCAAAGACATTTGGACAAATAATTTTTAAAAAAATATTCCATTTGAAAGTATATTTTTCTCCATCTTGTAATTTAAATATGCACTTTGCTGTGGAATTTATTGAGGTTAACACACTTAAATGTAAATTTCAATAAGCTTAAAAGCAAGCACAGCTAATTTGAAAATGGAGGAAAAACTCCCCAGGTAAAACTGCTTTCTAAATTTGTCCACAGGGTGATTTTCTTTTATCCTTCACATTAAAGATTTAAACATGAAGAACCTAAACCCACTCTCAGAGAAATATTTTAATAAAACAAAACCTTTAAGATACTTTCTTTTTGCAAAATCAGGTTTTCATGTATCCATTTATTATAATGTACTGTAAATAAGAACTAAACCTTGAATGTGTACATGTAAATGATTTTTCTGAACCTAATAGCCTGGTATTTCATAATTTCAGGGAAAATATTAATTCTTTATGATGTAGAGTTTTAGTACTTTTCCAAGATACTAGTAGAAAACAGTTAGGCATTATGATGAAATGGATCTGTATGTAAATCATGGGCCTACCACTTACAAACTTGATGACCTTGGCAAATTATTTAATATCACTAAATCTCAATTTCTAATTAAAATAAAGGGAATAAGAATAACAGGATTATAGCAAAAATTAAATGAGTTTATGATATAAGAGTCTAGAAGATACTCATGAAGTTAAGATTTTATAAAATTGAGTTATTCCCTATAATAAGCAATTTTATAACTACATTAATAAGATGGGGATATGACAGACAATACTCAGTACATTTAAGAGTTGAGATAACATGTAAAATTTTCATAATTCCTATACCCCATGGTTTGTGCTAGGAGTTTGATATACATTGCTAATTAATTTTCATCCTCATACCTGGCTCATAACAGTTGTCACCATTTTAAAGATGAGAAAAATTAACTCTAGAAAAGTAAATTGACTTAGTATCAAATGATCAGGACCTCTGAATCGATGGATCCCTCACTTGGACTTGTCATAAGTGGATCTCATAAATAGTCACACTGAACAAAAATGTAGGTGGAAATTATTCAGGAGAGGAAAGGAGTCCTAAATCTGGCAATCACAGGAGAAAAACACCCACAATAAAACCAATCAACAAACTAAACCCAGAAGGTATGTACCTTATATCGATTTCTAGAAAAGATGTTAATTTTGAAAGTGTGAACATTCATTTCCCCTTCACTTCAAGCCTCTGTGGTTGTTTTGGCAATTTTTACAAAATCTCTGATTTCCAAAGGAGGTGCAACTGTTATATCAGCTCAGATTTACATAATCCCATGAAGTGATGAAAAATCACGATTAAAACCTTTAGCCTCACAATAACTAGGAGGTTCACATTTTTTAGTTAGATTTGGGGCTCCACAGGTGTTCTTTCTATACTTTGCACAATATATTAAGTAAGGCAAACAGAGTAGCTCTTCTTCATTCACATTTTCATCCTTGAGCATTTCAAAACCAGATAATAAATCGGGGCATGAGTCAGAGATCAAACCTTACCCAGATCTGTGACCCACAATTATATTTACTTAAATTCCTGTAAACCAAAATAAAATGTTTGTGATTATTTTTAATAGATTTATGTTTATGAAATAATTTAAAAAGTGACTATTTACATGCTTTAACACTGATAACCACTGAATGGTTGATGGTATGAAATATTCTTGCCTCTGTATTTGCTACTTTGGATTGGGGATGACCTAAGTTATGAAAAAAAAATACGTTTTTCTAATGAAAAGTTTCTTTTTTCTTTTATTAGTCAAAACATCCATTTCCAAAAATTGAGGTGGTAATTTCAGTCTTCTAACTCTTTATCTATTGCTATTCTTAATTTCATAACATTAAACGAACTATCTTAACTCATCTACCATGAGTAAAAAATGACTAATAGTTCTTAAATGAATTATCTATACATCCTTTGACGTATCTTTTTCTTGTAATCATCTTTTATATATGTTCATTCCAAGTTATAAAATACTGTCAAACTTTAGTCAAAGCACACTATTAATACAATAGAAGAATATATTTTCTGTGAGTTCTCTCTGTGGAAACAGTCCAGGTGAGGGATTTAAAGTGCTTGATTTATTAATGTTGGGTCACTTCACTTTTTTACACTTCATTTTTTTTCCACTTAAAAAATGGTGACTGTTGTAGCACTTATTTGTTAAGAGTCACTTGTAAGGATAAAATAGATTAGCATTGTAAATCAGGCAGAATATAGGAATCATTCTGAATTTGGATGTTATCTTAACTCTTATTGCATTGAATATAATCTGGTGTTCTCTCTAGTCCATTAATCTAGTTTATAAAACCAACTAAAGGAGGGGATAATTCCATTTTATATCTCATTCTCTGTGATTTTGTCTACTATGTATGTATGTATGTATCTATCTACCTATCTAATTTATTCTTTATCTTCAGCATTTAAAAACAAGTTTAGAAGCCTGGCTGTTTGACTACAACATCAGAGAAATTACTTGAGGTACACCAGGTTGCCAAATTGAAAAATAATAGAAATAGCTAATTATGAAGTACATGAAGAAATTCAACAGATTATTAAAAGAAAAAAAAACAAAGGGTGTATAACCATGCAAGTCCATGGACAGTGACTACACATACAAGCAAATGAAAGCAGCTGACCACGTACCCACACACCTTGGCAGAGGTGCACTCCACACTCGCCGACCACCACCAAGACAGATGATCTCCGATGTTCCTTCCAGGCGATAACCCAATGAGCATGAGAAAGTCAGAGTGTCTCCAACCCCAAAGTTGAATCCAATTCGGTTACCATATTGAGGAATTCCAGGGTCTTCACAAGGCTCAAGGTTATATTCTGTAAATTGGGGAGGGATGGAGAATCACCCAGGAAGAAAAGGAGAACAAAAAAAAATAACATTGCTTTGTGTTAAAAGTATATTCCTTGTAGAAAATGGAGGTTGTGAGGGACATATATTTTAATGGTAGTGAGACACAAGATTTTCTTATTGCTCTATCTAATAACTTCATAAATACTTTTATATGAGAAATTCAACATATATGAGAAAATCAATGTATATGAGAAAATGTCAACTCTGAGTAACAAACTGAAAATACAGCTATTTATCTCATATTTTTTCTGAATTGGAAACTTGCATTCCATACATTATTTTTTACTTATAATAACGACATAAGAGATGCATGATTTCAAACACAAAATAACATTTGGAATGAAATCACTTGTAGAATAAAATACATTTCCCTTAATGGTTTTAATTTTATGGCAGCGGTTCTTGTGCCTCTAGTCTACAAGGAGCTCAATTAACCCATATTCTGAAAAACATCTGGCAGAGATGCAAAAGTTTGTGTAATGTTGAAGTACCCACACATTGTAATTATTACATAATAGGTTTACACAGGAACTTCCCTCAGGGAACAGATGAACATGGTGAAAAGGAAAAACTAAACAGTATTCAGTGTCTGACAGAAGTTATTAAACATTATAATTTATATGCAGTACTAAGAAGAAATAGCTTAACTAAAAATATTCTCAGAGTAAATAAATAAAATTTACTTACTGCGAAATTGTAAAAAAGGACAAGAGTGATTGTTTCGTAATGATAAGCTAATATTGTATTCTTAAAAAGATTTATTTGGATATATGTTTAAAATTTTGAGTTAAAATTGATTTTGTCATTTACTATTCATTGTGGAATACCTTAATTATTTTAACAGCTAGGTACTTGCATCCAAATAACAAAATCATTGTTGAAGAACAAGATTAGCATTTGTGTCATATGTTTGCATATACATACATACATAATAATTTTAATTTAGAACAAGGTTAGCATTTGTATCATTTTATATGTGCATGTATATTACAATTGTTCTGTTAGCAGGTTGGCATAAGAATTGTTTATTAATTTGTCTCCATCTTTATCTCAGTATTTATTCCACTCAACTAAAAGGTAGGACTCTTTGTGATGTGAAATTTTTTTATATTTGTTACTTTTATATTTTTTCTTTTTCCTAGGATCCAAGTAATAATATAAAACAGGTCCTAGGAATTAGAATCCCTGCAGGAAATACCATGCTATGAATGAAAACGGCTACTCAAGAGCCCTGGCACCAGAAGAAAGACTCACCTTCTAGGAAAAACACTATCTCCCAGTTCTGGCAATGAGGGAACACAGCTACATTTATATATGCACATTTCTTGGCTTTTGTATCACCATTTTTGAAGGTAGTAGCACTACTGTTGGCAAAGTGGAGATTGATAAAGGTACTCTCTCTTCCTATTTTTGACTAATGCAGCAAAAAATTTCATCACGTATATATATTTATATATATACATAAACATATATACATACACATGCATGTGTATGTCTCTCTCTCTCTTTTTTTTATTAATGCAGGTGAGATTGTGGACCCATAGCTAAACATTATGGGTGGGAGTTCAATAATACCATTGTCTACAAATAAGCTTATTTTATGTAAAAGGGTAACTCTATTGCTTTGTTTCTACATCATCTCTCTTGAAAAGAATGTTAAGTTCATCTTAATCTTGGACTGTACCAATACTTTTTAGAAAAGACATAAAACTAGAATATTGGTGGTTTAATTTACATTTTATTTTTGAGTCTAATTGAAACGTCGTATATATATTATTTTTCATTTTATGTTCAATAGGAATTCTAGCTGCTTTTGCCATCTGTTAGAATACAAGGGGAATTTAAATTAAGAAAATGTAATTATTGTACTTGCAGTGGAATTTTAGTGAGTTAATTCATTTTTTTGCTTTTGTTTAATTGTTCTGTTTAATATGTTACTGGAGACAATCTTCAAGTTACTTCAAACTTATTTTAACTTTGCTAACAAATATTTATTTTGTTTTCTTTTTCTGCTTTTGTTTCTTATTTTCTGCAATTCCTGACAATCTGTTTTGTCATAAGTTGTGCAAATACTTTTAAAAACTTAAAATTTAAAAGTTACTAAAGAATATCTTTTCGTTTTTTTTTCTTACCTGAGAATGTAATGTTGAATCCTTCATATGATATAGAAAAATCTGAAATGAAGCGTAACTGTGCTCTGAAATTTCCATAGAGACCAGCATTGATTGTTGAAGGAAGCTCTGAACCAGTCAGACGTGCCAGAGGTTGGGTAAAACTCCCATTCTCTGTGATCAGTAAGTAGTCATGATGGTCCTCCAAATGAAAAGTGTGGAAGTTGAACTGCACACCTATTAATACAAATAAGAAAACTAGATTCATAAGGAATATTAGCAAATTACACAAAGTCAGTATCAAACTAAAATAAAATCCTTGTGATCAATTTTTCTGAAAAAGAAATTCACTGCTATAAAATATTCCAAATATATAGTATAATGATCCTTTATGTTTTTCCTTCAGCTTACTGTTGAGAGATATAGTGAGTCATGTCTTAGAAACTTCTTATAAATAAAATAAAAAATAAATGCCTGACATAGTTTTAACAAAATTTCCAGAAAAATACATAGACTTTGTTTTCAATAGAAGTTCAGCTTTCTGTGACAGCTTACATGCTTCTGTCATTTCCTTTTCCAATCCTTTCAAACAATTTGAAAACAGTGGTTAATAAACCAGCACCCAACTTCCAAACTGAGCTTAAGTCTATTTTTAGAAGAAAAATATAAAGCAGGCATAAGGATGTACTATTTGTTTAATGAATGTAATGACGCCTCATTTATTTATTTTTCACACATTTGAATCTGTGTGGATAATATGCTGACAAGTGCACATATAAGCACTAACCTCATTGAATTTTCACAATTCTGAACACACCTTTGCAAATAGTACCGGAGTCAATAAATACAACTTTACCAGCCCACACAGATCACTTCATGAAACTTTTCTGACACTTCACTTTTCAAAGATAACCATTCATTCACCTTCTAATAGTACAAACTAATTTCCCTATTTTATAAATTTTTTTTTTAGTTTAGATTATGGACTTGGATAATGTGTACTCTTTGGAGTGTACATTCTGCTACTCAACAATCAAGCATGTGAGGTTTATCTTTATTATTGCATGCAATTGAGAGGTGTTTATTTTCAGTGACAGAGAGTATAGTCTTCCATTTTGTGAATACAGCATATTCCTTTATCTCTTCCACTGTTGATGGTCACTTAATAAGTTGGCATTTTATCACATCTGTGCTGCTGTGAACATTCACCATTCCTTTTTATGAAGATATGTGCTTATTTGTGTTGGGCATAACTAAGAGTGGAATTACTGGGCCATGAGTAATCTGCTCAGTTTTAACAATTCCTGTTTTACAAAATGAATATGCTAACTTAAATTTCCATAGTTAAATATGACTATTCTGCATCTTCACCAGCGTTTGAAAATTTAGAGCATCTTCATTTGTTCCATGCTGGTGACACATAGTGGTCTCATTGTGTTCCTCAGTTAGTTTTTAATGACACTGTCCAGAACATATGTAAAAGACTAAAAATTTCATACACATACACACATACAAACATACAACACACTGTGTATAAAGCAGCATACGAAATAAAAGATGGCTATCATATACATCTTTCCTTTATAGTATTCTTTTCCTTTTAATTTGAGCTACAGAAAAAAAATCACAAAATCATTAAGAAAATCCCAAACCTCAGAGTATGGTAAGAAACATTCTTCATTCATTCACATTTTAGCTCTATTCTGGAAATTCTTGGAGTTCCCATAAATTTAAAATGTGTGCTAGAGATGTAGCCCACTTGCCTCACAAATACAAACACTGGGTTCTATCCTTACCACTCAAAATAAAGTAATGTAAAATGAGACCAAAACAAAACCAACCACAAACAAGATTACTAGTATATAATGCACCAGTGACTATAAAATAGTCAGGAAATATTTGAAATGTATATGCTACTATTTTTCAAACATCTTTTCAAAATACAATACGAATTACCCTAGAGAACTTTTAAATGAGTCCAGACATTGAGTTGATCTTTCAAATGATCTTTAGTATAAAAGTGGTGCTGACACAAAACAGATGAAATGAGAATGGAGTCTTGACATAGAAAGAAGACAATCACTGTCTAGATTAGGTGCTATCTAACTTTAGAAAATAATATAAATGGAAAGATCAAAATAGGCATTTCTTCTATAGAGTAAAGCTAAGAAAAAATATCTAAGAGGAGAATTTATGGAGAAAAGATGAGAAAAATTAGCAATATACTATATATAGTTTTTAAGAAAAATGTGTTCATTCTGATATTTCTCAAAGTAATTTGTAGGAAAATTTAAATTTCTACTAAATACTAATAACAGTCACATAGTCCTTAGTTTTCCTAGCCTAACTTTCTCTATCTACAACATGGCGTTCTGATAGGGTTGTCTCACACTTTAAATGAAGCTGCTTATGGGAATGACTTGGCATAGTGTCTGGCTCAGAGGAAGTGCTCATTAGTTGTTCCTTATTGTTTGGCTAATCTCCAAAATAAGAGTTAATGTTTTTCATTGACACTGGGCCCCAGTTAAATAACAAACACTAAATAAACACTAAAATTTGTTTTTGCTACTGAACAAAACTTAAGACTTTCAAAAGTCTGCTAAATTTAACAAAAGTAAACATAAAATTCTGCACTGAAGATAAAAAAAATTCAATTGCATGCAAGTATCGAACTTTAGGCACTGGATCTAACTGTCATTTAAAGTTACAATAATCTAAAAAGATGATTTAAATAACCAAAAACTCGTAATCAGTCCATAGCATGATAAAGTAGTCAAAAAGTTATTGAAAGAAAGTATAGGTTTAAATTGAGGAAATAATTTGTAGAGTTAGTCTGAGTGTAATTGTGGAAATTCACATTTTTAGAGAGAATTATTTCCCTCTGTAGCATCAAGTTGTAACAAACAAACTCAGAGAATAGTTCTAATGCAATGTTTATTTTTTATTTGTTTGTTTTTGGTCTAACTCCAGGAAGCAGAATAGATACAACAATCTCAGAACATTTTTTTCAGCAATTAAATCTCTACAAAAATTGATTAGATTAAGGTGAGGGTATGTGGTTGATAGACTTCATATACATGTATGGAATAGAATAAAGAAATGTCTTGCAATTGCTTTAAGTGGGAGTAGATGGGGAAAGACAGTGGAAGTGATATAACCAATGTACAATATAAGCTGGTTGGAATTGTCACTATGAATCATCCCTGTAATAATGAATATGTTCTAATAGAAATTTGTAATTAAAAAACTTAGTAGGTTTACCCAACAGGAACTGACCATATAAGATCAGTTCATCATGTTTCTGGTGTCCCACAGAAAGAAATTAATATGCTCTGTGAAAGATTAGGCTATGTTACTTTAATGATTTTGTAAGAGGTGCTTAAATTGATTTTGCTGAAAACCACTGACTCCATACTTGGGTCCACAAATTAACTAAAATCATAAAGAAAACATGGCATTCTGCCTTCATTGTCTATCTGTCTTTGCTCTAAATCATTCTTGTTGCAGTCACTTTGCAATCACCTTGAATTCCAGGAAGGACAGTACTGATAACATCTTCATGACAAGACTGAAACCCTAACCATAGAGCTTCCTCAGGATAGACCACCCATTAGGAGACAAAGACACTGGGTAAGATCTTCTCACTATCCTGTCCACACCTGTGACAAGGACTGCTTAACTCTGTATACCTTTTGCCCCTGTCCTAATTTTTTGTCTATTTAAAGATAACGCTCATGTCTGTACCCTGAGGAAGGCTAAAAACTTGCTGAGTGATTGCTCTGAGTCTTCTCACCATGCAATGTACTAAATATTCTTTTTCTGCCCTTCACTATGTTTCTTTATTTGGTATATAAGGACCAGTGACTGAACCGGACATGTGAAAGCCCAGGAGTTTGGGCCTGGGATCCAAAATTCCTGGTGTCAATATCTCCTAGCTTTTTATCCTTCATACAACTTTGTCTAGTCTTTGGAACAATTCTTCAAACAAACTTTGTTAGCTCTATGAAGAAAGCCATCTAAATCTGCATTCTTGCCATGTAAATACAGACTTAATTAACACTTGCAACCTGTGAAGATGTGAAACCTTAAGTGTTAATTAAACCTCTATTTACATAGCAAGCAGTATGTAGCCCTCCATTTTCTTGTATCATATCAAGGAGCTTATTTTAAACTCCATTAATCCACTGCACACTGGAATTATATGATGCTTTGGTTAACTTCCAACAAAGAGTCTTACATTCTGGAGAATAACAGAAATCACAGTTTACAAAGTCTCCTACCTCACTGCTGCTGTTCAGAACTAACTTCTCATTTTAACAAGTTTGTTCTCAATAACTTTTAATTTATTTCAGAAATCTAACAAAAAGAATCACTATATAATTCTCATTCCTGTTCAATTGGTGTACAATTTTATCAAAGTCAAACTTAATTTGTGAAAACACAATGAATTTAGATTTATTAAAAACAAGGTTTTATTTTAAAATTTTGACAGTATCTTCTCTTTGATAGTTTGTTGTTTTGACTCTCTTTCATGATTTTCTATAGTGAAATTGTTTAGCACACCATAATAGTAAAAGTCCGTGAAAACAATATAACAATACATCTAAAACAAAAATTATGTCTCAAAAACAGATTTAAAAATGAATAAACTTTTTTCTTTAAAGATTGGCTCATGGAACTTTCATGTTCCATGGAATTGTTGAATTGTTTTTATTTTAATTTGCCAGGATTGCAGTTTTCCCACTATTGTTATCACATTGCTAATTTGTGAGTTGATGTCTTATTGCATGTATGAACCAACTATTTTATTTCTATAGCAACTTTCATTTATTTGTAAATGGACATTTATTAACCTTTACCAAATGCACAGTAAAATTTTACACTCCATGTTATTTATGTTACACATATCTGTAGCTCTGAATTAGAAAATGTGAGAGACAAGTATTTGTAAAGTGATTACAAATTTGTGTGGGAAACATTACTGTAAAAATAAAATGTTAACACTTTATAAGCAAGTGTATTAAACATGCACTGCTTGCTTTGCAATTGGCTTAGCATTTTAACTTTTGCATTACCCTTTGAACGTCTGAAATCAACTTCTTAACAGTATGCAACACCCATCCTATGTGAGGTTTCATTGATATGAAAATTCCAAATGATATTAGTCTACTGTATCAAAATTAAATAAATATCTCCAATCACCATTCTGGTAAAAAATGAGCACAGTATAATATTAACAGAAAAGTAACATATAATCCTCTGCTGCAGTTTCTCAAATTGAATTTTATGCTAGCATATTTTAGAACTGATCCGGTTTTGATCATACAAAATGACTTAGTAAAGGACAATGAAGTAAAAATAGATCCAATGAAAATTCAGAAGATATCCCAATTATTAATGCAAAGAACAAATTACCTTTTCCATGGGTTACATCGACAGTCCATGTACAATTCAGAGAATTTGGATAAAATTCCGGGTAACCAGGTGATAAGATTGTTCCACTTGGCCCTCTAACATCTCCTCCACATAATGCTGAAAATACAAAGGAATACAGAAGGATCAGTCACAGTTAGGGAGGCAGAGGCTGAACAAACCTTTTATCTCCTTTCTAAACAGGATGAGTCCCATTATCTTTGACTAGTGACTTCCTCGTAATAATAGGAGTGTGCAAAGAACTTCCAATACTAGAAAATCATCTCATCCATTGCAGCACTAGAGAAGAAAAATATATTTAATAGTCTCTGAGAATTAGTACCAGCCCCAAGAGAACACAGCTCACTTTCCATATTTGAATTTGAAGTACATACTTATACTTTTCTAATTATAAGAAACATTTGCATAAATTGGTGGTATATTAAACATGAGTAATTAATTGATCAGCAGCCTCTCTTATGAAACACTAAGAAATGAATTGTTAATTATGTAAAATTGTTTCTTATAGATTCATAAAAGTATATATGTCATTCTTCATGAAATTCCTTTTAAAACAGTGAAGTTGTGAAAATGAAACTTAGAAGGAGTACAATTAATATTCTAAGAGAGTAAATATCCCAAGAAAGCAAAAATAAGTGTGTATGAATTGAGTTCAAAAAAATCAAAAATTAAGTTAGCATTTATTTCTAATATATTCATTTTCAATTAAATAGCCATTGGTGTTAATGTTATGTCAGTTTTGTCAGTGTTAACAATTAGAAGAGATACAGCCTAGTAATTTAATTCTAGTGGAAGCAGAAGAGATGTTGTTGATCCTTATTCTGTTCTATTTGGAAAGGTCAACTCTCTTGGTGAGTGAGAACCATGAAGGCAACAAGTGGCCTTTTCTTCCTTGAAACTTGCCCAATTTCCCTGGAATACATAAAAGCGAGTTTTGGTCTTTTTTCTTTGCATAATTTTTCCCAAGTGTCATTGTTGAATCTGAGAAGAGGTAAGGCAATCTGGTTGCTGTCCTTCTTAACCTAACTAGTAGTGCTAAGTATCTAGAAGTGTTGAAGCATAAGTGTTTGTACTTAAATATGTATACAGAATTCAAATGACTCATTACTTTGATATTTTGTACTACCTAAGGACATAGCTAGTATATCTTTTGGAGTTGTCTTACTGCTTGCCTTCTGTAAGCCAAGATAAGCTTACCCAACATATATATTATCAAGTTATTTCAAAATTATCCATGATTTGATAGAGTGGAATCTTCTTTAGGGTTTGCACAGTTTGTCATTTTTAGTTGTTCTTAACAAATTTTTCAGTTTCATTTCAAGTTTTTAGAAAGTTGTAATGCGCTTTTGTCATCAATGTAATGTCTAGGTGCACCATTTCCATTGTATCTTGCTGATCATGCTGCTGCTAAAATGATCTATGCTTATTTTCCTAGTAATTCTTTTTGTTTCTTGATGACAGATTATTTATTTTTAATTAGATTATTTTACATATGCACATTTATTCCTAATACACTATATTTCATCTTGCTCTCCATTCTGAGACCAGACTAAAAAGGTCCTAATAATACAACATGATATGAATTTGTTGAATGAAATGTGGTAAGCAAAAATGCTGTACTGGGTTAAAACCTACAATCTCTATTTGAAACAGCTACATGTAATACTGGTAGAATAAAACTTCCCAGTGAAAATAAGAGATAAATTCAGTCTTATATTAGGATAAAAAACACAAAAACTAAAAAAAAAGACAGGTGAGAAAATTTTAAGGAGTATGCCACCTGTGTGCTTGCATCTGTGCTTATATGCATGGGGGTACAGGGAAAGGTCTTCCGTACATAAGTGTTCTTTTGTCATGTCAAACTTCCTACTTTTTGTTCTTAGAAATTTTCTTGAGAATTCTCTTGTTACAGGCGATATTTAGCCTGCATAGAAACTGAGACATTAAAGGAACCAAAACACTTTATGTCATAAACAAACACTTTAAAAATTTAGGAAGAATAGTTAATAAATAATACATTTATGATATACATTTATACTGCTTCTTTGATACTAGTCACATAGCAGAATATAGTTCATTTTAGCTATGCAGAGGGCATAGTTAATGTAAAAATGTTTAAAAGTAATTTTTACAGGAGCAGGCCTTGCAGGGAATTGACTGAGAGAAGGAATTTCATAGTAGTGGAGAGTATGATGTACATCTTTTACTTTGGGAGATAAAACCAAAAATGTGAAAACATTTAACTTTATTTTATGTCTTATAAGGAACAGAACCAAACACTTATAATGAACTTAAAACATGACTGGCAGTATTCTGCAGACTTTATTTATGTTAACTCAATTAACCCTCATAACAACCTACGAGGAGTAATGTAATTACTCATAGTAGGTGTTACACAAAGAGAATTCAAGCAACCTAATTCTGTGTGATATTAAGCAGACTCTTGAATTAAATTCTGATTTTTTACTACATTACAAATTATGATTTTCAACAAAAAATACAGACATCCACCATTTATGTTTGACTGTGTAGCATTCCCGCCCCCTAAAATTATGGATACTTAAAGATATCATTTAACAGTTGAGTGCTGTGTTGTATGCTATAGTCCCAGCTACTTGAGAGGCTGTTCAGGAAAGCTGAAGATTTCCAAACTAGCCTGTGCAATATAGAAAACCCCATTATAAGAAACAAACACACATACAAAACAAAAAATAGACCTAAAGGTATCATTTATTTCTCAGAGATTCATTTAATCCTTTCATCTTCAAATCCTTCTCTTTGGAAGTACCTCACACCTAACAAATCAGTTTTCTAATTGATGCTCTTTAACTGGTGTCTATTTCAAATTCTCATCTGCCAATCATTTTGTGTGTTATTGAAATGGTTTTCTATTATCATCACAGGCCTCATCATTTTCATCAGCCTAATGAAATCCTTCATATTTCTAAATGAGATTATTTTACATTGCAAATGGTTTGAGTGGCATTTGCTTTATATGGTTATCATTTTGAACAATTACAAGAGAGTGATTCACATGTGCATCTGTAAAATGAACTATGACAGATCCTAATGCTAAGTAGGAAGCCTGTTTAAGTTGGATTAATTTTAAAAGTGGTTAATTCATAACTGATGTTCTCTCATAATGATATTTACTGCTCTAAAACTTGCCACTTCTATTAGAATGATAAGAATGTGAAAGAGGAAATGGATTGCTTATTGGAAAAACTCATGAGAGTTCTAAAATATCAAGATAAATGTGAAGACTTAAGGTTTTATAGGTGATGTTTTGTTTATTATATTCACACAGAGAATGTATATCAAACATATTATAAAATATATGTCATAGAAAGAATTTATGAAAATATTTGCATGCCAAACATTTGATCTCATCTTTCCCCCTAGTACTAATGACAATCTCAGGTCCCCAGTGCATACAGAATAGCTTATATCAAAGTTTTTATTTCAAAATTGTTAAGTAGTTTCTTTATAAAGAGCTCAAACATGAAGCTGAGAGCAGTGGCTCATGTCTGCAATCTCACCTACTAGGGAGGTGGAGAGGGGAGGATTGTGGTTCAAGACCAGCCCATGAAAAAATTAGCAAGATCCTACCTCAAAGAACAAACTGGGTGGCACATGCCTGTAATCACAACTATGTGGGAGGAAGACGTAGGAAGACTGAGGTTCAAGGTTGGCCCCAGGCCAAAGCAAGAGACCCTATCTGAAAAATAACTAAAACCAAAAAGGGTTATAGGCATGGCTGAAGTAGTAAAGCTCTTGCCTAGCAAAAGCAAACATCCTGAGTTAAACACCAGAACTTCCCCCACTTCAAAAATGTTAAGTATTTAAAAAATGAAAAGACCCAACCAACCAACAAACAAAAAGAGTACAAGATAAAAATAGAACTGGAAAGGATGGAGTTCATAGTAGAGGACCATGATTATAGGATGAGTAATTTATACTATGATCTCCAAGGAATATAAAGCCATAAGTACTTTCAGGATTGTATAACATGAAATAACCCTAATATGAAAGATAGACATGAGACTGAAAAAAGTCAGAAATTGAATTTAAGATTGATTGCCATTACACTGGTGAGAGGTGATGAGGGTCTTGCTGCCCCTAGAAAAATAGGCTTTTATTATTCACAAAATTTAAATGTGTCTGTATTACTGAACATTATTTTTTACTTTCCTGCTTATTCTGATAACATTGCCTCCATATCTTTCTCTCTTGGTGAATATTCCTTTTTCATGCCAACCATGTTGCTTTATCAGGACTTGACAAATATGATACCTTTATATTACTATCTATGTCTTGACTTTAGGGATGGATGGGCATATGACCCTTACAAGTCCAGATGCTTACTATAGTAACTGCTTCAGGTTTGGGCCAATAAAATAACTTTTTGGGATTTTTCTACCTGGAACAAGAAAGAGCTCTTAATTGTCTGTAATTCTGAAAATGCTAATGAAATTCTGTGTTTCTGAGAGTATATGCTCTACTGCCAATGCCCCAGTGGAAAAAGCCAGGCTGCAGTTGAAGCAACTTATGCAAACACACAGAGGAAATTTTAAGTAGAAGATGAAGAGATTCTTGAAAAACTGTGAACTTATGCTTACAATGACCTATGAGAAAGAAGCCTCCCTGCTTTTTCTGATATTTGAATAGTAGAACAACAATTTCTGTTTTTATTTTTAGCAATCAGTTAGAGTTGGGTTTCTGTCACTTATAATCACAAGGTTGCTGACTAATAAAAATAGTATCGTGCAAAACGCAGGGAAGAAGTACTGATGATTCTTTTAAACATTGTTATAAAAAGAAAATTGGCATGAGACTGTTCCTAAAATACAACAGAATGGAAGTACTTAAATATTTAATCTTGAAATGACAAATGTGATGCTCCAACTTGAAAAAGAATGAGTATAGAAATTAGGAATGATGGTGTAAATAGAAAGTGAATGCCAGAACTAAATAGTGCATAGATTCACAGAGTATGCCTTTGACAAAGCAAGTGTGAAAGCATTTCTCAGTCTTAGGGGAATCACTTTCTACCACAATATTTTCATATGCTTTTTAAAAAAATGAAACCCGTTTGAGTT